TTTTCTTGGCAGAATTCCTTCAGGGAAGGTTTGCCATCATTGCCTTCCTCTGAGGCTGAGAGAGTATGACTTGTCCAGCGTCACCCAGTGAGTTTTCATAACTGAACTGAGATTCAAACCTTGGACTCTTGGTGTCTTTGCCCAACACACAAATGCCACCACAGAGGAGGGGGGAGGAACAAGAAGAGGAAGAAGAAAGAGATTAATTTGTACAGTTTAAGGAAAAGATTTCTTTTTTTGTTTTTCATTCCAGTGTTGAATTGGGTCAGAAAAGAGCAGGGATCATTTCGAGACCGCAGTTCATGGCATATCTTTCTTTATGGGGAGGAAGTGTTGCTTAGTGGTTTGAGGGCTGGACTAGGGCTCTGGAGAACAGGGTTCGAATGCCTTCTCGGCCATAGAAATCCCCTGGGTGACCTTGAGCAAGTCACATTCTCTCAGCTTCAAGGGATGGCAATGGCAACCCTCCCATTCATTGAACTCAGATTAAATGACTAAACTCCAATGGGTCTCCTTTAAATATGACTGAGCTTAGAACTTGCTCAGTTTCTGAAATATTAGGTACTTAGCGACTATTCCTTTCCTTCCCTCAGCCCTAAAATTAGTCTTCCGAGTTTTTATGACACTAATCGGGAAAGTGGTCCAATAAAACACGTTTCAGACGGGCAAGTGTTGCCTTCTGGGTTCTAGAAGATAAGGAAGAGTTGGAAACTCCATCCACAAAGTACTCCAGAAATAACTTATTTCAAAGTTATTTAGAATTCTATTATAATTGCATCCAGAGTAAGCAAAGCGATATCTCACTCACTCTCTCACACACACAACTTCTGCAATAGAGCTTTTGCAAAGAGCTGACAATCCTTCTAGTTGTACAGGACTTTCCGGACAAATGGACAGAAGTGTGTATTTCCTTAGTGGAAATAAGCAGGGATCTACAGGTAACCTCCTCCATCATTTACAAGGATTCCTGACTTTCAGCTGTTGTATAACCGGAGGAACAAAATAATTGCTCTTAAGTCCTGTGTTCAGGTTTCTTTCATTCTAAGTCCATGTCTTCCGCAAGTAGGTTACTCTGGAAAGTGGACATTAAAGGTCATAATGAAAAATAGATCTCTCATGTGTGAAGAGTGAAGAAGAAGAATGAAGAAGCGTGAAAAAGGAAAAAGCCTGGTGTAGTGGTTTGAGGGTTGGACTTGGACATTGAGAGAGACCAGGGTTCAAATCCCCACTTAGCCATTGAAACCCACTGGGTGACCTTAGGCAAATCACATTCTCTCAGCCTCAGAGGATAGCAATGGTAACCCCCCTCTGAAGAAACTTGCCAAGGAAACCTCACAATAGGATCGCCTTAGGGTCTCCATAATCTGAAGGCACACAACAACAAGCACAAGCCTGAAGCCCGTCCCCTGGTGTAAAGCAAAGCTTGGGAAATTTAGGACCTGAACAGACTGCCAGAAATAATCCAGCTTGAGACCACTTTAACTATCCTGGCTCAATGCTAGGGAATCATGAGAATTGTAGTTTTGTTTTTGTTTTTTTCTGAGACATTGAGCCTTCTCTGTCAGAGAGCTGTGGTGCCACAATAGACTACAATTCCCATGATTCCCTAGCACTGAGCCAGGACAGTTGAAGTGGTCTCAAACTGGACTATTTCTGGAAGTCTGTTCAGGCCCTTACTTTGGGGGCTACAGTTTCTAGGATCACCAACCAAGGTAATGGGAGGCAGTTGTAGTCCAAAATGTCATTTGTCTAAGGTGAGATTTAAAATTTACCCATCTCTTGGCCTCACTGGGCTTTTCAAAGGAGACCTGTATTGGTTCATTTGTATGGAAACTAGTAAGTGATGGCTAGGGAAAGGGAAGAGAGAATGCACAGTACATTCCCAGAGTCAAATAATAAACAGACATTCATTCTTCTGAGTTAAGGGGGTAATCATATTCTGACGGAATGCATCTGGCCTGGAGGTGATTTAGTCCAGCACAGAGTTCCTCCTAAATAGGAAGCATCCTTGCCTTTATTTCAGACTACAGCACAGTATTTCTGGCGGAGATTTCAAGTTTTCCTACCGTGCCAGGGAAGCAGCACCCAATTTCTAAACATTGGCTATAATTGCTTCTTTATCTCCTGGAAGATCTCGAGGAAATGGCAAAAACGAACCACTATTCTGAGTTGTTGTTATGTCTCTTCAAGTCGTTTCCGACTCATGGCGCACCTAACACAGGGTTTTCTGAGGGCTGAGAGTATGTGACTTTTCCCTAGGTCACCCAGTGGGCTTCCATGGCTCAGTGGATTCGACTCCCAAAGTCATAGTCTAATAACTCTCAAACAGCATTGGATTCCACTGTTCTGAGTTGCATTTTCTTAGAATAAGCCCCTTCCCTGGCATGGTTGCATTCTTTGAGGGAAAAGGATGCTGAAGAATGCGGGAAAGTTACTTACTTTGAAGCCACCGCTCTCAGCAGCAAAGGTAGAATGTATAAAGGTTACCCTATCTTCTGTAAGAAAGCATGAAAACTAATGACAGAACTTAGAGAAGATATAAAACTTGGGACAATTAGTCAGCAAGAAGGAAATAGAGTATAAAATAACTCGTAAAATGTCTTGTGAAATATTTTCAGTGATATATTTTCTTTTAGAATGCTGCAAGATACAATGAGAAAGAATATTATAGATGTTTATTGTTACAAAGACAATGAGAACCCTTTGCTAGACCATTGCAAGGGAAATTCTTGTATTTATATGTACTATAATCCTCCAAAAGCCAGCAAGCATGCTGATAAGATAAACCTGGAACTGAAGCCCCAAAATCTGATTTTTCCCAAACTCTGCTCTGCTTCTTCGCCTGGCGAAGGTCTATGTGGGAACCCAGCTCTAGTCAGAAATTTATCTCTTGAAGCGGACTCTCCCAGCCTGGCGCGCTACCCCAAGTATATTGGATTACAACTCCCATCATCCCCAGACACCATGACCTTTGGAGTGCGACACTCTAGGGCAGGGAAAGCGGCTTTAAAGCATGGACACGACACATTTCAAACTGACTTCTGGCATTCCCGGTGCCTCAGCAAGAGAAATTGTGGATTGTGGCCCTGTGCAGGGACCAATGCTTTTCGACAAAACTACAGTTCCCAGGGTTCTTTGTGTGTGCGTATGTATATGTGCCTTCGAGTCATCTGCCATATTATAGCGACCTCATAAATTTCATAGGGTTTTCTTAGGCAAGGAATACTCAGAGGTGGTTTTGCCAGTCCCTTCCTCTGAAATACAGCACTTGGTATGCATTGGCGGTCTCCCATCCAAGTACTAACCATGACTGGCCCTGCTTAGTTTCCAAGATCAGATGGACTTTGGTGCCTTTAGGGCATTTAGGCAGTAAAGGTTCCTTACTGGAGGCCAATAAAAGTTGTACAGAGGTCGGTCCAATTTAAATGTGTGGCTTTGGGATTCATTCCTGATTGGAAGTTTTAACTCTGATCCAGAAATTCTGTCAACCTTTCCCTCCAGAATAGATGTAGTGATGTTTATATGGAAAATCCACCCTGCACTGACCTCACATGGCCCAGGCAGGACTGAATGGGCTTTGGCTCCGAAGGTTCTCAGGTTAAGATCTGGTGCATTTTCCTTCACAATTGCCTCTGTTTCTACCTCTCTACCTTTTGTGCCTTGAACACCTAAAGGAGCTCCAACTCTGCCTCCTGGGATGGATGAAGGAGTCATTGCTCCACTGGCGACTGCCTGCCTGAAACTCAAGTACTTCGATGTTTCCAGTTGCTGGCAAGACTATTTCTATTCGCAAAAGATACCACTATGACCCCAATCGAGATGTCAAGAAGTAGGACACTTTACCATAAGCTTTCCCACCCCAGCACTATCCAGATGCCTCGATGGAGTCATTGTTAGCTGCCTGACCCACTGAACTTCACTAGCCATCTCTGAGAGTGCAGCGAATTCAGCTTCTGTGGTGTTCAAAGCTATACAACTTTGTTTTCTGGATCTCCACACAACAGGACTGTCAGTGAATCTGGTGACCAAACCAGAAACTGACTTTTTGTCTGTAATTTCTGATGTAAAGGAGCTGTCTGTATAGCACTCTAGCTGAGACACTCCTCCAGCCATCACCAGACATCTGTCTCTTGTTCCCTTGGGAAACAACACCACACGTACCACACGCTTCAAAGCAGTATAATCTACTACCCTGGTTTTGAGGCTCTCCTATTCAACAACCCCACTGCAAAACTGATGTCAGTCCTAGAGTTATTGGCAGTGTACAAAAGGCTACCAGTCACTGAATGGAACAATTCAGAGTGCTCAAACATTTTATCAGACTCTAAATTGACAAACTCAGGTGTCATGGGACTTCTGACTATCTTAGCATTGTTCAATCCACATTTCTCCACAATCCTGTCAATCTTCTTTTTCTGACAAAACAGAATCTCTCCATCCTGGGTTCTTTCCACTTCAATTCCTAAGTAATTAGGAATTTTTAAGCAGAGGCTGGATGGCCATCTGTTGGGGATGCTTTGATTGGGAGTTCCTGCATGGCAGGGGGGTTGGACTGGATGGCCCTTGTGACTTCCAACTCTGTGATTCTATGATTCTATTATTCTAATTCTTCAGAATGTCTAAATCTTTCAGTTTGAATTTTCTTCTTAACTCCTTCAATACATGCTTTGTATCATATAAACAACTTGCACCCACACAAAGATCATCAACATAGATCACTAGAATGATACTATCCTTGGTATACACACATGCATCAGCCACACTGTGTTGGTACCCAGGTTTGACAAGCTCATAATTAATGTACATATTTTAACATCTAGCACTCTGCTTCAATCCATACAGGGCCTTAGAATCATAGAATCATAGAGTTGGAAGAGACCACAAGGGCCATCCAGTCCAACCCCCTGCCATGCAGGAACTCCCAATTAAAGCATCCCTGACAGGTGGCCATCCAGCCTCTGTTTAAAGGCCTCCAAGGAAGGAGACTCCACCACTCTCCGAGGGAGTGTGCTTCACTGTCGAACAGCCCTTACTGTCAGGAAGTTCCTCCTAATGTTGAGGTGGAATCTCTTTTCCTGTAGCTTGCACCCATTGTTCCGGGTCCTAATTTCTGGAGCAGCAGAAGACAAGCTTGTTCCCTCTTCAATATGATATCCCTTGAAATATTTAAACACGGCTATCAGATCACCTCTTAACCTTCTCTTCTCCAGGCAAAACATCCCCAGCTCCTTAAGTCATTCCACATAGGGCTTGGTTTCCAGACCCTTCACCATTTCAGTTGCCCTCCTCTGGACATGCTCCAGTTTTTCCACATCCTTTTTGAATTGTGGTGCCCAGAACTGGATACAGTATTCCAGGTGAGGCCTGACCAAAGCAGAATAGAGTGGCACTATTACTT